TTTTTCCAGCTCAAAACACCTTTCATGCCCATTAAAGAACACATTTACACATTTCCTATGACAGTATCATTTTCATGTTCGTGAGGTTGACATAAATCAGAGGATGGCAATGTGTGCGAGGTTCCTCGATCGTCTTGAAAAGCGTGAACATTTTCTCATTGACATTTGGTTCTGTGACAAAGCTGAGTTTTAAAGCAGATGACAAAATAATGGGTAGAGAGCAGGAAAGGAGGTTAAAGGAGAACGTTTTAGAGAAGTAAATTTTCCCTTGCTGTCAGGTTTCGAACCCGTGACCTGTCGAAGGACAGACGACCACCATATCTCAAGACCATGAGAGCCCTCTCATAGGCGTTTGTGGGATGATGCTGATGAATTAATGGTGAGAAAAACAATATTTCATTCCAGCTTTCACTGAGGTAGGGGTGTCATCATATCTGACATTAAAACTAATGTTGGGTGTTATAGACTCAAAAACTGGTCTGTAACAGACTACCCATGACATGAGTCACATCGATAAACACTGCAACACTACACGTGAATGGCTGATGACAATTAATGATACCACATCGTACAACTAGTGGGTCGAAGTACACAAGAAATGCCGCGTAAAAATTGAATAGGCAATTTAAAAAAAAACCCTTAAAAAATTGACCAATCTGCTGGTGTCATGGAAACAAACTGCGGCAGCTCAAACATGTTGGTGGCATTCTTTGGAAAGTAAACTGAGATATGTTTTAGGCGTTTCTGGTGGCGACTGCAAGAAAATAATGAAAATGGATGAGCTCAAGCCAATGGGATAGAGACATTTTGAAAGAAGAGAGTGTTTATCATTAGCTAGGCACTTCGGTTAGGCAAGGCTCTGAAGCATTTAGTCACCCCTCCCCCTCCCCCCCCCCCCCCCCAAACAACAACAAACAACCAAGCAAACCAAACAAACCAAAACCCAAAACAAGAACAAAACAGAAAACTACTTTTGTTGGTACACGGGAGTAAAGACTAACTCGACAAATAACGGAGAGCTCTAAAAATATTTCCTAAAGCCATCAAGCAAAATTGTGGAGGACAAAAAAATCAACGGCTGTTTGGACCACTCGTGGACATTGTACTTCTACCGATATAAACCAACATCACACGAAAGTAGCTAGAGAGGCTTAAATAATAATTCTTGTTCCTAAAAAAGAGCAAATTTTTAATGGTCAAGGAATAAATCACCTTCAAACAGTAAGAAGGTAAACCCTTTAGTGGCGTTGCAGACAAATCGCCACCCCAGAATTACAAAGTTCTATCTGCTCAATACCTTAACAGTTTTGAGAAACTTTACGTCAGATACAGGGTAATCCAAAAATAAAACTTTACAATAAAAAAAAAAATTCCTCCCCCCTGAAGCTTTGCGTTTCAAATGTGAACACACTGTTTGGCAGCCAAAAGGAATTCGTCTGATATTCATTTTTAGATGATTCCACAAAATAGTTTTGCTCTGTATTGCGCATAAAAAAGCAACCCATTTTTAGCCTTGTCCCCCTTTGTGTGGCGTGACGCACCAGTTCACATTAAGCCTGCCACTAAAAGTCGCAACGTTCGTGCGATGTTGTAAGCTACAACAGTCTAACAAGTCAACAGAAGTTTGCAGATATTGTTTTTCTCAAGTTTACTTTGCGTGCTGAGATCATTGTTAAGTTTAAAAAAGAGTAGAGATCATTTTGCAATTAGCATTACGTCGCTTCCAACTCATCATCTCTGACATTTCCTAAGTTTTGCACATGGTACGGAAAAAATGATAAAGTGTCCCAAAGGCCTTCTGTGATGTCATACTTAGAGATGTTCCGTAAGTTGAAATCTATAGAGAATCAGAATTCAAAATTACTGGACAAAACGACCACTACAGGTAGAAAACGTACCATCACACACCTTTAAATGCGGCTAGGATGCAGAATTCAGTTGTAGAGTCCCATGAGACGTCTGTTCGCAGACGATGTCCGCGGCCAAGTAAATATTCACCTATGACAGTATCATTTTCATATACGTGAGGTTGACATGGATCAGAGGATGGCAAATATGTGTACGTGATTCCTCGATCGTCTTGAAAAGCGTGATCATTTCCTGAATGACATTTGGTTCTATGGCAAAGCTCGTTTTCAAAGAAGCGCATGTAGTGCTCTGGCTCTAAGAATTCTAGAAAAAAAAGTAATTTTTTAAAACATTCTACAAGGGCTGTCCCACGGAAAACCGGAATTTGGCTGTAATTTGAAAACTATTCAATATTTTCACATTCTGTAAACTCACTTTTGTAAAACAATTATTTATTAATTTCCCGATTGAGCACCATGAGCATCGCGCAAACCAAACGGACACAGCAGTTCTCCAATAATGGCTACCTTCTTGAAAAATTGGTCAAGGGTAGAAGTAAGGTCTGTCATTCGGTTTCTGACAGCAAAAGGTCTCAAACCTATAGAAATACATACTGAAATAAAGTCAGTTTACGGGGAGATAGTAATGGCAAAGTCACAGGTCTAGGAGTGGTGAAGTAAATTCAAAGCTGGGCATACGGATGTCAATGACAAAGTTCACCCAGGACCTTGTTTTTCTGCCAACGAACTCATTCAAACAAACAGGCCCATAAAAATTCGCGAAATTTCCGAGTCGCTAAACATTTCAAAGTCGACTGTCCGTAGGACATGAATGATGATCTGCACAATCGAAAGGCCTCTGCTCGATGGGTCCCAAAAGAGCTGACAGCTGACCACAAGACGCAACGTGTTGAAGTGTCTCAGACTTTGTTGAATCCTTATGGGAGTCATGGACGCATCTGGAGACCTCCAAGAATACGATGAAGTATTCCCGAGAAGCATTATTACAGGAGATGAGACTTGGATACACCACATGATCCCTTAGACGAAGAGGGATTCAATGGTTTGGAAATACACGTCTTCACCTCTCCCGAAAAAGTTTAATGTTCAGCCATCGGTGAAGAAACTCATGGCCACGGTTTTCTGAGATGCAAAGGGTGTTCTGCTTCTTGACATTCTGGAACCAAGACAAACTGTAAATGCTAACAGATACTGCAAGACTCTTGATAAGTTGAGAGAGGTTGTGCGCCCAAAAAGACCAGGCCGGTTGTACAGCGGGGTCATTTTGCAGCCTGACAACGCAACGCAACACACCTCAAACGCTACGAAAGACTGGATCCAGAGGTTCGGCTGGGAAGTTCTGCCACCCCCTCTTCATAGTCCTGACTTGGTCCCGTCAGATTATTACTTTTTTGAACCTATGAAACGCCATATTTCTGGAGAGCAATTCACCGACGACGAATACCTCGTGGAAGCCGTTAACGATTGGTTAAAATCCCTTGACGAAAAATTCTTTAGAGAGAGTATCTTCTCCCTGATGCAGCGATGGAAAAAAATCCAGCGGGATGGTGATTACATAGAGAAATAAAGCACATGTTGAGGTATGATGTGTTACGTTTTTATTATAATAGGACAAAGATTGTTGCCTTTAAGGAGCTTTTCCGGTTTTCCGTGGGACAACCCTCGTAGATCTATAAGACAAACATGTTGTTTAAACGTTAAATTGGTGAAAAGATTAAATAATATTTTAAAAAGGAAAATAAAAAAAACCCAGACTGATCGGTTCATGATTTTCTTTACAATATTTTTAATTGATGCATTTTGCATTTATGGGTGTTTTTCTTTAAGCCATTTTCGTTTTAAAAAATAATTTGCATCTTTATGAATTTATGTAAAATTTTTTTTATTTCGAATGAGTTACATTCTAAAACAGTTTTTTGCGCTGTAAAGTTTAAAAAAAAAAAAAATCACTCTGTACAAGTTCCACAGCTTGTCAAGATTTTTTCGATTACAATTCTTTGAATATCGCGATAACAACTTCGAATTATCTTACGATTTTGATAGAGCAGATAAAACATTAGTATTCTGACCTAACGGTGTTAGTAACTCAAAACGGCTGAAAATGTCAGATAAAACTTTGTAAATTTCAGAGGTAGAAAAATGTACCCCATCAGCAGCAACCCAAAGACAAAGTTGAGGGACGTTGTGACTAAGTTTTGTAAAAGCCAAACGTAATTGAACAATCTCTATGAATAAAAAAGTCAAGCTTCTTTTTTTTTTTCATAAAAAAAGAAAAAAAAAAAGCGCGTCTCGAAGCATTTTCGAATGACCAGAAAATGAAATGCGTCATCAACAAATTAAAGAATATTTTGATCCCCTGAGATGCCATTTCATGTCAATGTGTTTTTACGCCCTCATCAAGACATTTAGGATAATTTTTTTCCGACACCATTGCTGCAACGCAAGACAGAGTGAAGTGGAGGCCCATGATCGCCCACGCCAGTCGGCAAGACACCGGATGATGATGATTTCGACCCTGCCTGTCAGGGCCAATCTGAGGGGAAAGTTATGCAACATCCCGGCAAAAAGGCTGAGACACTCGATGAACACTTTTCCCCACTCAGGAATCGAACTCGGGTCTTCTACGTGCTGCAGCGAAGGGACTAACCGCCACACCACAGACGCAGGTGTTTCCTCGTTGTAAAAACTACAAAAACAGTTGATAAATAACAAACTCAGGATTCTATGTTATCCATCCATCCAACCATCCATTCACCCATGAATCAATCAATTTATTTATGTCTCTATCAATATAACAGTCAATTTGTCTTCCTTCAATTCATTCATTTATTCATTCAACAGTCCATCCATTCATCTAATTATTAATTCATCATTTTCTCAAACCATTCACATACCCCTGCCCTCCATCCATTCATTAATTTCTGTATCCATCCATCCATCCATCCATCCATCCATCCATCCATCCATCCATCCATCCATCCATCCATCCATCCATCCATCCATCCATCTATCCATCTATCCACCCACCCACCCATCCACCCACCCATCCATCCATCCATCCATCCTTCCATCCGTACCTTCAACAATTTATCCATTCATCCTTCCACACGTCGTCCCTTGTTGATGTCACAGACCTGGAAGGACTGGTGGATCACGTGGGCAGCTGTGGCAAGTTCCAGGTGCTGCTTGTATGCGCCACTTTCGGTACGCTGTTGCATATAGCCGGCGGTATGATGTTCATGGTGTTTGGGTCTTATAACCCGGGCTGGGACTGTCTGGGAGAGGACAACACTTCTTTGTCCTGGCCTACAGCACTGCCGACTGGTCATCCCACTGGTCAGCCTACTGGTCAGACTACTGACCTGCCCCTAGCTAACACGTCATCACAGCCGGCAAACTGGGAGCTGAGCAGTGAAACTTCTCTGACAGCCAACGCTTCCGTAACTGAAAGTGCAAGCGGCGCTGGAAATGGAAGTTGTGACATCATCTCCCGTTGTAGCGCTGTGGCGTTTGTGGAGGGCTCGTCAACCGTGGTCACAGAGTGGGGTTTGATCTGCGACAAAGCCTGGGTGCCCTCGGTTATCATCAGCGTACAAATGGTGGGCGTTTTCGTGGGATCCGTCCTCTCCGGAGCTGTTGGAGACAGGTGAGTCATACAAAGATGTAGGTGAGATAGTCAAGACAGGTAAAACAGTTGAGGTCGGTGTGACATATGTAGGTAAGATAGGTTGGACACACAGACATAGATGTAGGTGAAATGGCAGAGTTAGGTGAGATAGGTAAGACAGGCGAGACACACAACTGGGGGAGAGATAGGTGAGGCAAGCGAAATAGGTGAGACAGGAGAGGCAGATGTGATAGTTGATACAGACGAGACACAAATTTACGTTAGATATGTGAGGCAGATGAGAAAAGTGAAACAAGTAGGATATCGAGGCAGGTGAGATAGGTAAGAAGTGAGACACACAGATGTATGTGGCATAGGTGAGATAAGTGAAACAGTTGATAGGAATAGTCATAATAATGATAAATATCATAATTTGTATCGCGCCCACTCGACCACAAGCTCTATGCTCTTTACATTCTTACCCTAGCAGACCATAGAACACTAAAAAACATTATCAGCTTCGCAGGAAGCATACAGTGTAGCATCTGATAAAACGATCCAGCACCAACAAACTGACAAGAATAGAGAAGGTGAGTTCAATGAGACAGTTGGGGCAAGTGAGAATTTTATAGTGAGCCAAAAGTGAGAGACAAACTCAGGCAGGAAAGAGAAGTGAGGCAACAAGATAGGGAAGCCAGTCGAGTCTAGTGAGACGAACTGATACATGCAAAATGAAATTTAAAACATCCTCTTTATTGATCCTCACGGGAAATTTGTTTTACATTTAGGTAGATGGATATACAAAAATAAATTTAGGGCTTTGACAGACGAGCTACTACTGTTGCACAGTAAATTCTGCGCAGAAAGTGTCGCTTACTTTTGTGTGGCAGCCACTACTTTACTTTTCTTTTTTTTTGGATCCAGCGGCCATCTGAGTTTTCGCCCTTCGGCCTGTCGATATGGCACAGAATGTACAGCTTTTTATCAGTTGTGTTTTGTCGTTGTATAGAGTATTTCCGATGTCTGACGAGTCAGGTAGGTAGGTACTACTCATGTCACTAAGTGCGGGGCAGGTAAAGAGGTGGTGTGATACTGCTTCGTCCTGGCAGTCACACATCAGGCAGTCAGGAGGGGTATCCTTGCGGATCTTATCAAAGTAGGAATTTAGTAATTTTGTGGGATGTGTTGTGCTCGCAGGCCAAAGATAGTGACTCGTTCTCTTCTACTCGGGGAATTTAGAGCATCTTTTGAGTTGGGAGCAGTCATGTGTGCAAATACAGTTCTTCCAGTTTTGCCCATCCATTCCGCCATCGTTCCCTGGTTTTGTATTTTGTGATGTCTGTTGCGATACTGGGTTTTGAGGTTGTGTTTGTGCTTCTCCTTTGTTGGCAAAAGTGTCTGCTCTGTCATTTCCTGGGATATTGCTGTGGCTAGGTATCCACTGTAAAGTCAGGTCGGCGGCATAGGTCTATTTTAGTTTCCTCTTGCAACAGTAGTTGTTGAATCCGTCTAGGTCCTCATTCATAAGCGTGCACTGATGTCAGCTTGTTTACCCGAAAGCCAGATGGCTAGGTCGTCGGCATATTGGGCCTTCTCCGACTTCAGCATCTCAGGAAGGTCGTTGATGAAAACAAGGAAAAGTGTGCAGCTCAGAAAGGAACCTTGGGGTAGGCCCTCCTCCAGTAAAGCTTTGGATGACACACCGGAGTTCATCCTGGTCTGAATTGTCCTGTCTGGAAGGAAGGTCTTCACTCATCTGTAGAGTTTCCTGTGGATTCCTGTCTGTGTCATCTTCCACCAGAGGCCTTTTCTCAAAACCCTATTATGTGCTTGCTGGAGATCAACGAAAACTACTACCGTATGCTTTTTTCCTGGAAGCCATCAAGGACTTTCTGACTGAGCCTGAAGAGCTGGTCATCTGTTCGCTGGCCCACAGGAAATCCCGCTTGGTTGCTGTCCAAGGCACTGGTTGTTTCCAATCTCAAATATAGGCTGTGGTAGACCATCTCTCTTCTAGTTTCCCGATGCATGAGGTGAGTGAAATGGGTCGATAGCTTTTTAGTTCTTCTGCAGGTTTTCCTTTCTTGAGAATGGGTATGATGAAGGCGTTTCCCATGCTCTAGGGATGGTGTTTTCGTTCCACGTCTTGTTGATTAGCAGGAGAATATTACTCTTACCAACGGGACTGAGGTTGACGAGCATTTCATTGAAGATCTTATCTGGTCCAGGTGGGTTGTGTGGCAGCCACACGGTCCAGGGGGGTTGTGTGGCAGCCACACGGGACAACATTTAACGCTACTGCTCAGTTCAACGTGAATGATCGGAGAGTCAGGGTGGTTTTGGTCAAGGTAGAAATATTGTCGTGTTAAATGAAAAGCTAGTAAAAACACAACTATTGTAGTATCTGCGTACTTTGAACTGTGTGCTTCACCAAAACAATGGTGTGTCGCAGTGTAGCAGAATGTGGGCACACACGTCTGCTATGCCATGACTTAAAATAAAACGCCTGTCGCTCGTGTGACCGCTCCCATTGTCTACAGTGTATCACAACTGCGTTTTTACATTTCTCCTGTCAAGGTCCTAATACGTGAGAACATGGATGATTTATAATATTATCATAAACATGGACAAATCATGCGTGCTGTGGTTGGTCGCAAATGTTCAGCCCTCTGATTTTGAGCTTGGTTTATCACGTCTTGTCGCTTGACGATATTGCCTCGCTCAGCTTTTGAGATAGGATCATTGTGTCTTGCCGATTAACATTATCATGAGCCTGAGCTTAGTAACAATTCAGCTACCAGCGCCCTTAGGTTAAACATTGTGATGAGTAAGATGAGGAATACGTGTGATAAAGCATTGAGTGTTGAACCTGTAAGTGTTGGGGGCGAGAGAGAGAGAGAGAGAGAGAGAGAGAGAGAGAGAGAGAGAGAGAGAGAGAGAGAGAGAGAGAGAGAGAGAGAGAAAGAGAGAGGGGGGGGGAGGGAGGGAGGGAGAGAGAGATTGTGAGGGCGACACAGAGAAAAACATAGTATGACAGACAGGGAAAGGGATGCTGAGATTGATACACGTTTCAGAAAAACACAAGGAGGGGGTATTGAAACTGTGGAGCAATAGACAAGGCAGTTATCTTATAGACTTTCTGCCTGATGCCTTCAATCACAGGTTATTGAAACGTTTTCTCCATTTATTCTCACCCCTACCCTTCTTCCCAACACGTATACCGGTCCCATCCCTCTCCATTCCATCCCCATATACAACTACCCCATTTCTTCCTACTCCTCCATTTCCACCACCCCCTTCCCTATTCATTTATTCTCTTACCTTTTCCTGCTCCATTCCCTCACGTAATCCTCTATTCCCCTTCCTCCCTCCATCACCCTTCTCCTCCTGTGCCTCTTCCCGCTCCACCCCTTCTCCAACTCCTCTACTCCCCTCCCTCCCTCACCTGCCCACCCCCCCCCCCCCACGTTCCTTCCTACTCCCCTCCCACCTTCACCTCCCCACCCATCCCAATCTCCTTCTCTTTCCCTCACACCGGTGATAAGACTTGGACGTAAGGTATCTCTTTACGGCCACATTTCCCTGCACACACTGGTCCACCTAGTGATCATCTTCTCCACGTCCTGGGAGATGTACGCCGCCCTCAACTTCTTCATCGGCGTGGCAGTTGGCGGCATGATATCCACCGCCTACGTCTACCCTGTGGAGTTCGTTAGCCAGTGGTGGAGAGGCATGCTGGGAACCCTCCCGGCGTGGAATGTATCCTCGGCCCTTTTCTCTGCGATCGTCCTGTGGCTCCGCGACTGGAAACTCGTCCACGCCGTCATCTGTGGTGTGTCGGCCCTCACCTTGCTCCCTGTCTTCTGGACTCCAGAGAGCATGCGCTGGCTCACGGTGTCCGGTAGCCTGGTCAGAGCTCACGCAGTGGCCAAGAAGATTGCCAAGTGTAACGGACGAGAAGTTCCAAGCGTGGAAATGATGAGGTCAGTGTCGGAGCAGGAGCGAAAGAAAAACGCCCATGTGGACACGTATTCCTACTTGGATCTGTTCCGAGGCAAAACGCTTTGCATTTTTTCCATTAAGATGGGGATTGTCTGGCTGTGTATGTCCATCACCTACTTCACTATAAGTTTCGGGATCAAATCCCTGTCGGGAGATTTCTACCTCAACTTTCTCCTGTTTTCTCTTACGGAGTTACCCGGCCTTCTCATGGTTGCCCCGACCACAAACAAGCTGGGCCGGCGACGCGCAGGTGCAATACACTTCCTCACTTCCGCTTCCGCGTGTCTCATCGTGGTCCTCATGATTTTCTTTGCCCCCAACAGCTCCTCCACAGATCTTGCAATCAACATCCTAGCTCTGGTGGCCAAAATGGTCATCACGGGCGCTTGGATGGTGGCCACAATCTTCACCATGGAGATTTACCCGACAGTTGTCCGGAGTCTGGGTGTGGGATACGTAAACTCAGCCTCTCGTATTGGCGCCATCATCTCCCCTTACATTGTGACAGACTCGCCCGACCTCCTCTGGCTGCCTTTCCTCATCAATGTCGTCGTGCTTGTCATCTGCACGCTGCTCATGCTCTCCATGCCGGAGACACTGGGCTCTCCGCTTCCTGACACAATGGTGCACACCCCAGTAACGAAGCGGCAGCTGCTCCTGGTTGAACCTGACACAGACAAAAGAGTTGGGGCATTTAGTTAAACCTGACGTAAAAAGTTGTTGTCCTTGATTAGATATGACAAAGAAAATTGTTGCCCTTAATTGAATCCAGTACAGAGAAAAGAAAATAAGTTCAATTGGGCATATGCATTCAGGGAAAGAGAGAGAGAGAGAGAGAGAGAGAGAGAGAGAGAGAGAGAGAGAGAGAGA